TCCTCAAACCAAACAGAAATTTTGGGATGGACCCAATCCTCAAACCTAACAAAAAATGGGTTCAACCTATCCCAGAAAACAGGTTGGGTTCAACCCATCCCTTCTCATCCCCAAACCAAACACATGCTCAGCTAATCACCAAAAAGAGAGGCTCCTTAGCTCCTGCTAGATTCCACAACCGGCGCTCTTCTCGAGCAAGGGTGAGAGCAACGCCAAGGTTAGGGTGAGAGCAACGCCAAGGTTAGGGGTAATACCATCAAAAAATGCAATGATTCCGGTGGTTCCAAAGAGTCCAAGCTCCAAGCACAATGAGAAAGTTGAGACCTTTTTGTATCAATCCACTTGTTGCTCCACTAGCCTTTTCCCACCAGCTATCAAAGGAAGTATCTGAAGGTTGTGGCGAAAAGGAGTGGAGACCGACCTGTCTTAGAAGGAGGTACCAAAATTGTCTAGCAAAGACACAGGAGACTAGGAGGTGGTTAATAGTCTCATCCTCCTGGTCACAGAGAGGGCACTGCTCAGGATGAGGCAGCCAACGACGCGCAAGGCGATCTGCCGTCCAGCACCGATTGTGGGCCACCAACCAAAGGAAAAAATGGCATTTGGGCGGTGCCCAGGTCTTCCAGATCCTCTCATATGGTCCAAACTGAGTAGATCCCAGGAAGAAACTCTCATAGGCAGACTTGGCTGGGTATTGCCCACTAGCAGAAAATCGGCATATGTGGACATCTTCGACATCAGGCTCTAACTCAAAGTTGTACAGCGATTCCCAGAGATGGAGGAAGTCCACAATAAAAAGCCTGTTGGAATTATTACACCTTCAGGGAGTAGTGCCTCTAATACCTACACAATATAATCTAAGGGTCAAAATAGTTAAACAACACGGAATGTACAGAGTACAAGGAATCATTTGAGATATGACGCTCAATAGAGAGGTATTTCAGGATATGACACTCTACCCCACACATCAGCGACCCAATGGTGTCATATCCTGTAATGCTCCAAAAAATGGAAGACGTACCGAAAACAAGGAATAGTTTAGATATGACCATCAATGGAGTGGTAATTCAGGATTTGATACTATGAGTTGCTGAGATGTTGGGGACAGGGGGAGGGTGCCATAACCTGAATTCCTGAAATATCCCAAAAAGCAAAATACCCAATGCATAAGCTGTTCATTGAATTTTTTGCACTGATGTGGTTAGCGTATTTAATGGACTAATGAACTAGTAACGGTGTGGCAAACTGGCAGCACCTTATTATAGCCCTCATGCTCCAGACAATAGACTTGCATCTCCTAACTTCTAGTATGTGATTTTCTAAATCAATCCATCACATCAAATTTTGGAAACAAAACAAATATTGTGCACTTTATAGGTGTCGCCTGTCAATGCATTAATAACAATTATATTTCAAATGCTATACTCTCTCTGGCTATGTCTTTGAAGCAAAGAGCTGACTGACTTTGTTTATGAGAAAACAAGAAACAGACACCCAGATGTTAAGATAACTCAATCTAACCTGGAAGGACTGAATTTTTTGTCCGATCCTGAATTTGCAAAGGCAGTGTTACCTGGACAATATGCAAGTGTTAGACACCAACACAAATTAGATGTCTCAAGTCAAATTAAAGATATGTAGTTTTCTTTGCATATTCTTTTTCTCTAACACGGAGGAGCCCTTTGCATATTCTCATGTTTCATAATTAGAAATACTTTACTCCATAACTAAAATAGAGGTCCTAACAGTGTCAACGCTTGTGACACATGTCAAATAAGACAGTGGTATTGCCAGGTCTAGGTAACACTGCATGCATGACCGTACATCTGTTTGCCACTGGAGCAGGCATGACAATTTTTTTTTTTTTCTCGAACTACGCAGGAGAGCTGCGAGTCATTTCATTAAGATAGAAAAGAAAGTACATAGAGAGGGGGAGAGCCCCCAGACTAAGTACCAAACACACCCCCACACTTACAAAACACTACACACCCAAAACAAGGAAAGACCTGACCATAGAGCACCAAACCTAAGATGGTGCTACAAGCGACCTGGCAAGCAGCTCTTTGAGCTTAGAAGCTCCAGCCAAGCACCACAGGGTGCATTCATTTGTTATGGCCTGCAGGAGCACCTGGGAGTTAGGGAGAACACCTTCAAACACGCAAGAATTTCTATGTTTCCAAATCTCCCAAGCCACCAAAATGATGAGCGAATTTAAACCCTTTCGCCACTGATTTGGAGCAGCTCTAATGACTTTGCCCCACCAAGCTGAGAAGGTAGAGGAGTTTACCGGCACATCAACTACCAGATTGAGATGTGAGAAGACCAAAATCCAAATTTGTCTAGTAAAAACACAAGACAACAGCAGGTGGGGGGCTGTTTCCTGCGCTTGGTCACAGAACAGACATGCCGGGGGGTGCTGCAGGCCCCTCCTGGCCAGCCGGTCAGCAGTCCATAACCGCTGTTTAATAGCCAGCCAGACAAAGAACTTGCAGCGTAAGGGAGCCCAACTTTTCCAGATTCTTTTCCATGGGATAAACTTTATTGAGCCAACGAAAAGGGCTTCATATGCTGACTTGCTGGTGTAGATTCCAGATTGGGTCAGCTTCCAGTGTGTTGATCCGGGGTATCCTGATTTAGATGGACACCATTTAACTGATCCCAAAGTAACAGGTACTCCATCAGGACCTCCACTGAGCGGCCTCCTCTAATATCTGAAACCCAGTGCCTGTTGGAGAGGGCCTGTGCCACTGTTCTAGATTTGACAACTTTCTTAGGAATAGTCTGAAACAGATTAGGAGCAATTTCAGCCAAAGTTTTTCCTTCCAACCATCTGTCTTTCCAGAATAGGATTGTTTCCCCGTTTCCAACAACCGAGACCACTGCCATGTTAAATAAGGCTTGAGCCTTTTGGGGTACCTGGATATGAAGACCAGCCCAAGGACGAGAATGATCAGTTTTTTGAGCCCAAAGCCATCTAATCCGCAATGCCCAACCAAAGGACTCAATGTTGTGTATGCCCAGACCTCCATATTCCAAAGGGCGTTGTACCTTTTCCCATGAGACCAGGCAATTTCCACCATTTGCCTGTTCTTGTCCTTTCCAAAGGAAACCCCGCCGTTTTTTGTCAATAGCTTTGATAACCCATTTGGGCAGGTCAATAGCCAGAAGATGATGTATCACAGAAGCCGTGAGAACCACCCTAGTCATAATCAGGCGGCCTGCTCTATTCATCAGAGAGGCTTTCCAGCTTGGGAGGTAACCAGCAACCTTGTCAATCAGAGGCAGGAGTACTTCCTTGGAAGGTTTTCTGATTGTAAGTGGTAAGCCCAAATAAGTACACGGAAACTCCTTTGTGGAGCATGCCAGGTGCTCCGAAATTTGCTGTACCTCTTCCTGTGAGCACTGAATTGGGAAAGCTGAACTCTTGGAGAAGTTTGTATGGAGTCAGAGGACTGACCAAAATATCTAAAATCTGTTTCATTGTTCTGAGATCATCCACACATGGTGAAGGAAGATAACAACATCATCCGCATAGAAGAAAGAGGCCCTATGAATGGCCTGCTGTACCGTGAGGGGTTGCAGAAGGTGGTGTCTGGTGGCATAGTTTATCAAGGAATTGAGTACATCCATTACCAAGATGAATAGCAAGGGTGAGAGGGGATCACCCTGCCTAAGACCACGATGGTGGAAAAAACCAGACCCTGGCTCACCATTAACCAATACCTGAGTAGACGAAGTAGACAGCACCAAGCATATAAGATTACACCACCGCTGTCCAAAGCCCAGGTGGCGAAGAACCTCCAACAGAAAAGGCCAAGAGACAGAGTCAAAGGCTTTTGAGATATCCAACTTTAGGAGAACATGCGCTTCTTTTTTCCCATGCAAAGCCTTGGCCATCTGTTGTACAAAAAGAAAGTTATCATGTATGTTCCTTCCTCTAATGAAAGCGCTCTGATTGGGAGGGACCAGGCTTGGCAAGAGAGGAACCAGTCTGTTGGCCATGATTTTTGTCACCAGCTTGGCGAAACTGTGAATTAAACTTATGGGCCTGAAATCCTTGACCGAGTTGGCGTCCTGCTGTTTTGGTAAAAGGGAGATGAAAGCTGTGTTGAGCAGCCTGAAACGAGCCACATGACCTCGATGTATAGCCGATAAAGCCGACATGATGTCGTCTTTGATAATACCCCAGCAAGATTTATAAAATCTGCCTGTGTATCCATCGGGTCCTGGGGCTTTGTCCAATGGCATCTCCTTTATTGTAGCCCATACTTCTTCCTCTGTGAAAGGGCTCTCCAGCGAAGAGAGATCATGCTGCTGAATCCCAATTTCTGCAAAGTCAATGGTATAATCCCTCTCATCAGCCGTGCCCAACAAATTCTCATAAAACTGCAGGACTGCTTCTTGTTTATCTTCTTGGTTAACTACTGTTTGATCACCCACTTGCAACTTTGCAATGAAGTTTTTCTTCTTCCTGTAACGGGCTTGCTGGTGGAAAAAGGACGTGTTAGCATCACCTTCCTTCAAGTACAGAACTCTAGAACGGAGGCGTGCAATAGTACGTTCAAGAGAAGCCAATCCCAAACAGTGAAGCTTAAGTTTCTTCCTCAGCCATTCCTCACTTGGAGAAAGATCCCTGGAATCCCTAGCAATCTCAAGATGGTGCAGAATTTCCTTGGCTGTCCCTAGCTGAAGCTTGACATTACCAATTTTCCGTTGGCCCCATTTCTGAAGGTCTCGGCTAAGTCTCTGAAGTTTGAGGAAGAGCCGTTCAACTGCGCAGGATGAAGATACTGGAGCATTCCAATTCTGCTGAATTGCTTCTATAAATCCGGACATTTTAGTCCAAAAACTCTCAAAATGGAATCTGCGTTTGCCTCTAGTACTAACCTTCAAACCCAAAACCAGTGGGCAATGATCAGACACAACCGAGGCGCTGCTCTGTAGGACGGCATCAGGGAAGATATCCTCCCAAACAACACAGCAGAAAGCTCTATCAAGCCTCACGAGGGTGGGAGAAGATCTTTCATTAGACCATGTGTGTATTTCCTTCCTAACAGAGGAATTTCTTTAGCCTCAACATCATCAAGGAAGCGCCTGAACCGACCCATCATTGCTCGATCCAAATTGGTATTGTTTTTATCAGAAGCTTGGTATATTAAGTTGAAGTCCCCCGCTATCAGCCATGGGCCCGAACATAAAGCTCGCACATCACGAAGCTCTTGCAAGAATGCTATCTTATCAACATCATCTTGAGGACCATAGACTCCTGTAAACCACCAATTGCGACCTTCTTGTTCCTCAAATTGAACTGAGATAGAATAATTATCCACTCTGGAAGCTAGGATCTGACAAATATTGCTTTTCCAGGCAATCAAGATCCCTCCCCTCGTACCATCAGCTGGCAGTTCCACATACTTGTCATAAGCAGTGCCAAAAACTGAGAGGAAAATTCTCTGATTCATAAAAGCAATTTTGGTTTCTTGAAGACAAACCACAGGGGCATTTGAGGAACGTATTACATCACTAACAGCATTACACCGGCTATTTTGGTTAAGGCCACGCGCATTCCAAATCAGAATAGAAGATGGATTCATGACTAAAACAAAAGAATTTCGACCGGGCAAATTGAAACCAGGAAGTTACAGGAAGTCCCCTGCTCGAACCTGAGCGTCCTCTTCGATGTTCCAGCCGAAGATAGCCGCCATGGCAGCCACATGGCTCTCATTGAGTTGGCTCCCCATAATCTTGAAGTAGGCATCTTGAGTCTTGAGATCAATTTTTTCTTTGCACGCAAAACCTAGACTCCTCATAACCCTCCTTTGTGCTTCGGTGGTGACTAGTCCTGGAGAACACGGGTCAACTCCAGCCACCCTTCTGCTTCGTCGAGGTAAAGAACCCGGAGCCACAGCTTTGACGCGCCTCATGTGAATGACAGGCAGCGGTAGGAGGCTATCTGTTGGCTTGCAAGCTCTTTCAAGTTGGGGGAGCACCGGAGTTGAAGGAGCAGCTGCGTCCACTTCCCCGAAGTGTGCGGAGGTAGAGGGGGGCCTAGTACGGAAGCGCAAGCGAGAGTACACTCGCAGCGCCTTGCCTGGGAGCCGTCGGCAGAGAGGACGTGTGCGGTGCCACCATCGGGACTTGAGGCCGAAGCAGGCGTGTCTTGACTGTCATTTGGGATGGATGGAGAAGCTGGCCTGTAAAGAAATTCCCCATAACAGGCCGTCCATAGGCGAGATGGGCGTTCCACAGTCCATCAAGCAGCCCACTAACAGGCCCGGCCCGGCGTTTTGGGGGCCCAAAGATCAGGCGCCACGGCCAGGGAGGCACCGAAGTCCAGCAGTTCAGGCGCAAGCTGGGGTGCTTCCGCCAATAAAAGCGCGCCAAATCTTCGAGAGGAAACTTGTCATTGGGCTCTTTCGTGTTGTGCTGTTGTGCACTTCACCAAGATTCAAGGAATTGAAGGAGAGATCCTCTGCTATTTCTTATGCAGATTAAAGTCCATTAAGACTACCGATGGGGCAGCGCGACAAGCGCCTCGGGAGCAGGAGCTTCCTTTGTGGTTTCCCCATGTGACTGCGCAGCTCATTAAAATGACGGGCCCATCTAACAAAGACGAGATTTTCTCAAGATCTTTCTTTGGATCCGTTGGGAGACGAATCAACTTCATCAGCGCCTTTGAAGCTCAATAACTCTATCTTCCTTGGGATCGGGCGCTGGAGACGCCACAGAATCAACTCCATCAGCCAGCACGCCTTGAAGCTCAATAATTGTATCTTCCTCGACTGGGCGCTGGAGACGCCACAAGATGGCTGTATCTTCCTCATTTGTGGCCCCGTCAGATGCAAAACATTAACAGCCAGCAGCACAAGAGCAGCATCTTCATCTCGATGGACCCTTCGGCTGCGGACCAACAATGATGGTAGGTGCAACCTCGGAACCCTCGCGGATTGCACAGGGACGAACAGCCCCAGCCTGGCATGCACGGGGCGTGCCTCCGAAGGAACTCCATGTGCCTGATCAGTTTCTTCCTCCGGCGAGCCACGCCGCCGCCGCCAGCGCCTACAACGGCGACCACCGTGGTGATCAGCCGGAGGCGGGGGTGGGGGGGCATCAGCAGGAGCATGAATATCCAAAATTGAGCAAGATATCTCCACAGGGTAGACCAGACTACGTTTCCCTTCCTGATCAGTAGCACCAGCCACCGGCGGCTCAATAATCTCCAAGTCCATACCAGATGGGATGCGGCTTGGCGAAGAGCACCATGCTGTCAAACTGAACACATCCCGCCGCTCCGCATTGTCCGTGTGCAGGCTGCTAACCAAACAAAACTCGTTGAGAAGCTGCTCCGCCGTCTCCTGACCCCAAGCATGAGCAGGAATGCCGCCGTCTCCCAGAGGCATGACAATTTTAGCTGAACCTTAGAAATTTGTTAACTAGTGGGATGCAATGCTTATCTGAAGCTGTTATTATAATTGTAAATGGAACAAAAACATCCCATTCCAGAAAGTCTCCACAAATTAGATTGTCATTAGATCTCTCTCAACATTGTTATTAGAATGTAAACGCATCTGATTGAATAATAAAAACTAGAGAAAACCAAAGAATAACTATTTAGAGCTTCTAATTAACCAAGCTGCATAAATCACCATTGCAGAGCTCACTTGTCACCTCCTATGAGCACTCAAGTACATTATTATATAAAAACCATGTGCGTTACAACTAACAAAGGCTTAGATAAACAATGAGATATATGATAATCAGGAGGCCTAAACCAAAAACCCACTAGAAAAAAGTAAGCAATTTGTGTAATCCTCAACAGAAAAATCATTTGCAAAACAACAAAAATATTTATCAGCAAACCAAATTTGAAAGCAAATGGTGCTTAGGGATTCAAGTGTAAACATGTATTAAGATACCTCATGCATCGGCCAGTAGTTGTGGAACAAGGTTAGCTGACAATGTACAAGCTCATAGGCAAATGATCCATTCTGGTGACTTTCATGGTCTAAAACAACCTGAAAAATAAGTAACTAAAACCAGTAAAGAAATATCCACTGCAACAAGATAAGACGCATATTAACTAAGTGAGAACAGATTATGGAAGTAAATGAATTACATAGTGTAAATAAATATGTTAGTAAATGAGACTTGAAAATGTTGCTGAGTTTCTAGTTGATCATCAAAGGATTCAAAATCATGCTCCGCCAAAGTCTGGCGTAGAAGTAGGGTACCAAATTATCAATATCATCCTTGATATGCACCACTTCCTATCATGCTAAAGTGAACCAGCTATGTCAAGTGCAGCAGAAATGAGCACCACCTTGACGGCCTCTGGGAGCTCATCAACTCCCCTCCCGGCGTATTTCTCGTCCAGCAGCAGCAGGCGGCTGGGGCCAGTCCGCCACGCGCCCCTCCGGAGGCCCTCTTCCCCGACCAACCCCTTCAAATCGTCTTCGTCGCCCTCCCTTCCCTCCCCCACCACCTCCACCACATACACCTTATCTTTGTCACGCCCACGCGTCGCCTGCTCGTCGCTCTCACCTCCGGCCTTCCTCCCCCTCCGCTTCCGCGCGGCGGGACTGGGCCGCGAGAGGCGGGCGAGGTTGGGGAAACGCACGAAGCCCCGGGCGTTGAACTCGCGGGCCACCTTCTCCCGCCGCGCCGCCACCGCGGTGGTCGGCGGGACCGGGGTGCCCGATTCCTGGGCGGAGAAGAGCGGGGGAGACGGCAGGGAGAGCCCGAGGGCGAGGAGGCCCTGGTCGTTGGGGAGGCGGGCGACGTTGCGGACGCGGGGCCAGTTGAGGAGGTGGCCCCGGAGGCGGCGCTCGAGTGGCGCGCAGGCGGCGGCGGGGACGCGGAGCGCGGCGAGGTCGAAGGAGCGAGCGAAGGGGTCCGGGTGGTCCGGCGGGGCGCGGCCGCGGCGGAGCGAGGGGCCGTGGAGGGGCGGCGGGGAGTAATCCGAGGAGGAGCAGCAGAGGGTTTTGAGGCTGAGGCGGAGGACGAGGCGGGCGGGGACGGAATGGCGGAGGCGGGGCAGGAGGAGGCATTGTGGATGGAGGCGGAAGTGGAGGAGCGGTGGTGCCATGGGTAAGGATGTCGGCGAAGCACGACGGAGGACGAGCGGCGACGGCAGCCAATCAGACTGCAGCAGCCATTGCCACGGGGACAACTGATGCCGGCGCTCTCTTTCGCCTGCGGCGGGGAGGCCGCCGAATGACACAGGCTGGATTACGGGATTAGGGGCTGTTTGGAACTCGAGAATGAAAAGCAGAGAAATAGAAAAAATATAGAAATAGGATAGGGAGGTAGGAACGAATAAGAGGGGACGTTTAGAACGTAGGAATCCAAAACCAGGGAATAGCATTAGCGTAGAAATGATAAAACGAAAATAGCAACTTCCATCAATTAACTAATAAAAAATGATCGCATGCGATATCTGAGCTCTAGAACTCTCTTCTACAGGTCTACGGTCCGTGGACTAAGGCTCCGTCCGCTTCGCTGAACGGCTGATTTGTTATGAGAGAAAAATATAATTTCAGCTAAAAATATAAGTTAAAAAAGATATATTATAAGAGAAACGAACAGAAACCTAAGTCTATACAGAATTCACCGCTTTCTTATCCTTTCCTCGTTCTTATCCAGTTATCCTCATCTCATTGCTCTGTCTGTCTTGCATCTCGCTCATTTCTTGCCGGATCAGTACGAGAAAGGATTGAGGCAGCGCAATGAGCGGAGTGAGATGCATGGTGGCTGCGTGCTTGCGAGCAGCCGTCAAGCTCGGACTCGGCCGGTTCAGTGACCTCCATTGACAGTCAATGGTACTCAGGGCGACGTACGCCGGTGATGACGGGACCAAAGCTTGGATTCTCTGGTTCTGTCTCCTCCCTAATCGGATTTTAATCGCCCAATAGTTTATGTGTCTGCCTCTTTGCCTCGGGCTTCCACCAATCCTTTAGCTCGGACTGCATTTTTTATTTCCTGTGTTTTGTGGAGCAGAAGGGTCCTTTCAAAGGAAAGGGTAGGAGCGTTCCTTTGTTCCAAACGGTGACTGACGTAAGCAAACCACAGAATCGGTTTCCTTTAAATTCCTATGAAAATACTACGTTCCAAACAGGGTCTTAGGTTGCTCTATTTCGTTGATGGACTTCTCAGAGACCATAGACAACCGAATTTTTTTTTATTTTTTGCCCCTTTTTTGAAAGATTTTCATAAATACGCCCTAGAGGAGGTATCCTTTCAAAATAAAGACCCTAGGTTTGGCGTCATAGCAAATGGTGTCGAGGTTACACGTCTCGGTGCCAATTGCTTTGGTGTCTAGGTAGGAGGCCGGTCATCATGTCAGCCTGTGTGGCAGCTTTCGTGGCATGACATGGCAGTCATCTCGACGCCGAGATCCATGGCGCCGATGGTAGTGGCGTCGAGCTAGGCGCCACGTGACTCCGTTCCGTCCAATTTTTAGCAATGTTGGAGGGCGATTTAGGCCTTGTTTAGTTGGTGAATTTTTTTTTGAAAAATAGTACTGTAGCACTTTCGTTGTTATTTGGCAATTAGTGTCCAATCATAGTCTAATTAGGCTTAAAAGATTCGTCTCGTGAATTTCGTCTAAACTGTGTAATTAGTTTTATTTTTTATTTATATTTAATGCTTCATGCATGCGTTCAAAGATTCGATGTGACGGGGAATCTTGAAAAATTTTGCAAAATTTTGGGAACTAAACAGGCACTTAGGGTTTCATCCAGAAAATAAAGTTTGTAGCACACGACTCAATCTACTACTTTGACTAAAGGTGAAGCACCAGAACTCATACAAAAAATAAAGTTAAATCTTGTTCAAAACATTAACATGAAAACGGTGCTTTGGCTTGATAGGAACACTTAGAACCATTTGGAGGAATGAGAACACGTTTGATTAACCCAGCGCTACATAGAGATTTCATGAAACAATACATGGCATGTATGGAACTCTAGGTAGTCCCACCACTAATTCTAACATGCCTTAGGAAAATTAAACATACAACAAGTTGCAATGGCATGTGTGGAACTCTATACTTCTAATGTTTAGAGGTCCAACGTACCACTAGTCCTAACACGACTTAGGGAATTTAACATGTTGGGTCTATTACATTGTTCTACTAAGTGCAGGGTGGTTGTTTCCCCTTTCTGTCGCGCCCTAAAGATGGTTCTGCTGCATCTTCTTGTTCTCGGACTTTAAGCTCTTGCTCCTGACGCTTGATAGCTGCTTCACGCAGACTTAACTGTTCCCTCCTCCTAGAAAGCGCATCCTTTTTCCCCTTCAGACAGATTTGGTAGACCCTATCCTGAGTCATCTTCACGAAGTATTGGCCTTTGTTTTCCACCTCTTATGGGATCTTTTCTGGCCATGCTAGGAACTTCTGGTCCACCCATTCGACCCACTTGGATGGCTACATGTATAGTGGTAGATGTCATGGTTTAGGTTGAGAAAAGATAACAAGAAAACAAAGATTTAGTGGTCGTTCTTACCATGAAGTCGTCATCCAGATTTGGACATGTGAAGCACCTACAACCGTTGTGTCGGTCTAGATCCAATGACACGGACAGGATCATCCTAAACCCGCAATGGCACTTTGACCACTCAGGCTGTGGCAGAACCGTCTAATCTAATGCCTCCTAGGAGTGCTCGTCTTCCATTAGACACTAAGCACTCGAAGGAGCACACTAAATTACACAGTTACGTCGGGCACAGCCCAGGGGGAGAACCCAAAAATCCACATTTTTCCATTAGGATCATAAATGAGATAATAAAGCTTACATCATTCTTAACCATTTCTTACATCACTTTTAATACAACATCAGAGTATAATATTTATTATTATAACAACGGAATATAATCATATTATCAGATTTATGAACAATTTAATTGAAAAGCGGAATATAAACATGTGATAAGAATTACAATGGAAATAAATATCTATTCATGACATGATAAATCATCGATATATAAACTAAGACAACAGATTATAAAGCTTCTATTTATAAAAATATTTAGTGAGAGTTATAAATAAAAACTATGATCGAGCGTAAAGGAAATCATCTCTGAGCCCACCAGGAGAAATCCACACACAAAGGTCAGCTCTAGCCTCCACCTGTCACCTACAACAGGGGGAAAATAAAACCATGAGTACTCAATTGTACTCAGCAAGACTTATCCGACAGAAGAAAAGAAAAGACTCAAAGGATATGCAAGACTATTTGGCTTGTGGGTTTATGGCATTTGCAGGAAGCATTACTAAGCGTGCATCCTTATATTTGATTTTTATTAATAACCACATTGGTTCATTAACTAACCATTCTATGTAAGCACATGTGCTACTTTTAAAGCAGGTGGTAAGCAATCAGATTTCCTTTTTCCATCTTTCATCTTTTAGTTCTTACTACGATGCCTAACCGTAAACAAGTCGTACCAGATCTCCCAGCGATTCGCGAATCAATGCCTACAGCTGGATACCCTAAAAACACACGCCCCGCTTGTATCCAAGGCATAAGCAAGACCAACCCATCACCCTCCTATCCTGTGTGTCCAGGTCTCCGTCTAAACTGGGACTCCAAGCCTCCGCCCCTGAGTCCTGGACTCAGTGCGGTGCAAGGACCTCTTAACCCAAAAACCACCAAGACAGTCGGTCCGGAAAGAGCCGGATCCACGATAAGAGAGCAACAAGTCTTCCAAGCGCCCATACCCAAGTATGAGCTCGGGATAATAAGTCTGTGACTCGCATAGAGCCTTATGCAACGACCGGTCCTTAACCGACACAGACAGGGAAATCAGTGTAACCAAGTTATGCCCTGCGTCCATGGCGAAACAACCTCTTACACCCACCAATACCCAAACCATATCCCTACCCGGTCACCATTTTTCCTTTCCACCATTTATATTTTCCCAGTGATACTAATACAGTAATATATTTCCTATCTCTCGCGGGTGACAACCATCACTCGACTTCTACCGGAGTCCTGTAGCACAGCAATCTAAACGATCCTGTCATACTAGTAAGACTCATAGGATAAAGAGATATATATATATATATATGCAAGTGGATTTCATTCAACTCCTGAAAACTTAATGCACAAATATAATTTAAAGTGCAAAAAAGTATGGGTTATGCACTAGGGCTTGCCTGGGTAAAATATAACCAAAAGTTAATATTTGCATCTTCAGATCATCCATCATCAACTGAATAGAAAGCCCATTGCATCATTTTTTGGGGAGAATACCATTACACCATCCTCAGATTCCCAATCATCCTTCCATTGATCAATTGACCCATCATCGTACCTATATGGTATGCAATGCGATGCAATGCAAAGACGTAATTAATCAACTGCAATCGTAACTCATAAAATACGATTTACGCCTTTCAAGTTAACGAGCTAGTTCTAACGACGATCGTACTTAGGCTACATATCCATGTTATCGAATAAGGCGTTATTTTCCCAACAAATGTTTTAGTTATACAAAACCCAATGTGTTTCTTTATTCTAAATAGGGCATCATTATTAATCCAGTAAACTAATTATTCTGGAGCTACAAAAATTACAGTGATTACCTAATATTGCTAGGAGCCTATTATAAAAATTTTAGATTCAAGACTATTACCAATTTATCACCACAATTCCTACAAGTTTATATTTTTACAATATTAAGTACCATAAATTAATTATATAGCTCCCAAGAATATTATCACACTATGTGAACAAAATATACTAACAGGTAGATCATGATTTTAGGAGACTAACAAAATTAGTTTCACAATTTTTGGATTCCTCTACTATTTTATATTGATTTTACAAGCTAACTAGAAACCTATTTTACAAAATCATTTAGAAGACCGGCGGCAACCAAATCGGCCCAGCGGCCCATGATAACGGCGCGGCCAGCCCGGCACAGCGTGCACACGCGGCCCAGCGCGTGGTGAGCACGGCCCAACGTGGGGCGAGGCGTGAGCGGCCCAATAACGGCCCACACGGCGAGACCAGCGGCGGTGGCACCATTTTGCTAAGAGACCCTTGTACTTTCTTTAAATTAACCCACAGGACAAACACTATTTAT